GTATTCTGTACATCACAGCACATTTACTAGCATCAATCTTTTGCGCCACCCACTTCAAGGCTGTAGACAAGGCCTGATGCTTGTTCCCCTGCGGTGGGGAAAACGCCAACACGCATTTATACTGCTGCAGTGTCACATATCAGCTTCAACACAAAGAAGGGGGAGATCAGTGTCATTCTGAATCAGACTGCAACGTTTCTGCCACAGTCAACATGATAGAGCTTTTACTGAATGGAAACATTGTTCTCTCGGGCTTTATACAAATTATTTTATTTTATTTTGCCCAAGTACTTTTCGTAATCATTGGTGGGGAATGCTAAGCATCACTATTGCTATTGCCCAATGTGTTACTTGTCCTGCACAGTTTCGTGCAAAATGTTGAGTGCAATTTTCAACTGGCAGATGATTAGTCCTGCAGGCTTATATTGAAGGAGGAACCTGAGCCAGATCTAGAGACAAGAATATCACATAGACTTGGGGGTGGACTTTATTGACTTGCTAGGAACATTCACCTGACACCCACCCGAACGCCCTCACAAACACCTACACATAATGTTTAGTCAGGCAACCTAAAATGTAATATCTAAACTGGTTTTTATTCAGGTTAGAAATGTTATATATTTGACTAAATTACCCTGAAAATATTGGGTCACATAAACAAATTTATAAGCGTCACATCAGATATAAATACTTCTTTTGATAAGTGCATACTCTTACTGTACATTTAACAGCATAGCAACCACCTGAACACCCTAGCCACTCTGAAAAAAGTATTGTTGTGGCACCTTTGTGGCTCGCTTTTCTTTAGAAAATGTAATTAGCTATTATTCTATATTATAGTAATGATTATAATAAACAACTAAATTAAGTTTCCTATCGGTCAGTCACTACAACGTAGGTCATGACTGACCAATAGGAATCTCACTAGAGAGGCCAATCTACTTTGAGTGAAACCAGAGCCCGTCTAACGGAGAGCCTTGGCACTTCCTATTAGCCCCATTGTGTATCATCTTGGTTGCAGTTCCATTAGAATTCCACTGGAGGTGATCGCGGGCGAGTGCAGAATGAATGGGAGTCTATGGGGCTAAACGGCTAAATGTGTCTCTTTCACCTGCTTGTCGTTAAATCAACATAGATTTTATTGTTGATTCCGCAAGTTCAATATAGATTATAGGCCAAAAGTCGAATGAACGAGTACTTAAATGATTAGTTCACTTTTGAAAAATCTTTTGCTGATAATTTACTCACCCCCATGTCATCCAAGATGTCCATGTCTTTCTTTCCTCAGTCGAAAAGAAATTTAGGTTTTTGATGAAAACATTCCAGGATTTTTCTCCATATAATGGACTTCAATGGGAACCGGATGGTTCAAGGTCCAAAAGATAGTGTTAATAACAGTTTCAGATGCAGCTTCAAATGTCTTTAAACGACACCAGACGATGAATAAGGGTCTTATCATGCGAAACGATCGGTTATTTCAAAACTTATTCCAAAAATGTAACTTTTCTAAGGACAAATGCTAGCCTTGCTCTCTTCTGTGAGGCGCGTTTGTAACGTCACGTAATACGTAATTACGTTCAAAAGGTCACGGGCGACGTAGCCGGAAGTACAGAATCAAAATCGTCCGACATCGTTGTTTTTCCTTTTAATTCCTTTTTTTGTAAACGGTGTTTGAGCTAGTTTGCACGTTCAACCTATGCGTTCAACTTGTAAACACTGACTCTGTACTTTCGGCTACGTCGCCCGTGACCTTTTGAACGTAATTACGTATTACGTGACGTTGCAAACGCGCCTCACAGAAGAGAGCAAGGCTAGCATTTGTCCTTAGAAAAGTTACATTTTTGGAATAAGTTTTGAAATAACCGATCGTTTCGCATGATAAGACCCTTATTCATCGTCTGGTGTCGTTTAAAGACATTTGAAGCTGCATCTGAAACTGTTATTAACTGTATTTTGGACCTTGGACCGTCTGGTTCCCATGTAAGTCCATTATATGGAGAAAAATCCTGGAATGTTTTCATCAAAAACCTTAATTTCTTTTCGACTGAGGAAAGAAAGACATGGACATCTTGGATGACATGGGGGTGAGTAAATTATCAGCAAAAGTTTTTTCAAAAGTGAACTAATCCTTTAAGTCCTTTTGATTTCTTACAGGTTAGGCCGTTGTTGGCCGGAACACGCTAGCATTCTGCTATTGTGTGACATCATCACAGTTTTGAACGGATTTTTAGAACAGATAAGTGAACTTAAAAATGCAATTTTCAGCTGAGTGTATTATCTTAGGTCTCCCCTTTGAATGCAACTTTAAAATTACTTGACAAAAAATTACACAGATAGTTTTTGTCTTTTTCAAGATTAAGTTCTATCTGTGTGTTTCTGGATGTGGTCGTTACCTGGGGTCACGGGATGGTCACGATCGCTGCCTCGTGTTTCTGGGCCTCGAACACGCTGAGGCAGCGTTCGTGGATGAGTCATGAACCCATTGTGGGAAGATGACCATCTCGGAGCTACGGTCGAGACTCTCGTTCCTGCAAAAGGGAGGACCTGAGAATCACGATGGGCCTGCATCCTTCGGGGAACCAACCTCCTAGGAACCCTCATTCCTCTTACGCTCCACAGCCATTTGAGTTACCCACTGAACATGCTGGATCATACTCGAGATGTGTACCAGTCATTTCTATTGGTGTTCTCCGCTACAACCAGATGTCGATCTCTACATCGGAGGGTGGGTCAGACATCTCCACGGACGACCATGGCCATGCTTTCCCAGGGCTCGAGTGGAACCCTCCACCGTGTCCCGAGCCCTCGAGGCTGGTTTTATGAGTATCTCGGGGTGGTGCGTGCTGATTCTCAGTGACCCTCCCCAGTGCCCGTGGCTCCTCTTTAGGAGGCTTCATCTTTCAGATTAGAATGTTGCCGCTTGTTTTAAACCAAAAAGTTAAATAATTTGCTTAGCTCTTCCAATATACTTTCAGTATCTACCTACTTTTTTAAAACGAGGAATCACACTTTACTGATTGATTTATAGAGAAGAGAAGCCGGGGTCCTCTGTGAAACACTCCATCTGTTGTCTGCTGATGATTGTAAAAGCAACATTCACACACTGCTGTGAAGCTTGGAAGTGGATTTGCAGTGTATATATGCAACATGAAACTTATGGCTTATGTAGATCAATTCTCCATACATTTCTTCTTGTTGCTATTTAGAGACCAAGTTAGCCTTTTTTTCTTGCATGAAGTGATTGTAAATGTTGCATTATCTGTGATTTTTGATGGTATCTCATTCATCTGAAGCTATTCATGGCACGAGCACCACTATTCGTGTCCCAGTAGAATCAAACATTATTTGCTCACGTGTCTGGGATTTATATAATGAGATAAAATCCATATGGCTCTTTGTGAGTTTCCCGAGACTGTACCCATGGGGTGGATATAAAATACGAGGGATCTTTATTCCTTTATTCATCCTGCACATTTTTTTGTGTTGTTGTTGAGACTGTTGATAACTTTGGCTACATACACATACACACATATTATTGTTATTATTAAATTCCAACAAAACTTGAATGGAATGAATTCTCAAATCTAAATAATTTGGCAAATTGCATAAATATGGGCACAATGCTAATGGATTCTATACAGACAATTACATATTGTTCCTTACAAGTGTGCACTATTAACTTTAGCTTGGCTTCTTGCACAAATAATGATTTCCCTCAACCCAACACTTCCTAAGTGCCAAAATCCTGTTCCCTCTGTTGTATAATGTTTTTTTTTTGTTTTTTTTAGATAAATGTCTCAGGTGTATATGATATTCCTATATTTATCAGCTACAACAAAGTCTACAAGAAATAAACAGCTTGTTCTTAAACTATCAAGCATAACGGCTGTTGTTACAATCTAAAACATGGACACTTGTAATTTGATCAAAGTTTGTCATCTATTGTGCTAATCAAATTATTTTTTTTTAATGTCATCCCGATTGTTGTTTCGTTCCTGAAAAAATGTGTTTTGATTTTAATGAACAAACGAGGAGTGAACTATTCAGCGACTCACTGATCATACACTTGTCGCCACCTGCTGTGCTGGAGTAATGATGTAAACTTCGGAAAGAGTCACAATCCACGCCAATAATGCACAAATGTCACAATGCTGTGTATGTTTAACCCTAAGAAGACGTAAGAAGCAGAATAAACGACCAAGAATCATAAGAATACAGTATGCACCGAACAGAATACCACACAATTACCATTAACAACGACAAACACAAGACAGGGAAAACTAAGGGATTTTGGTAACACTGGTAACACATGCAGTTGCTATATAAAATGATGCATGATTACATGCAACTAACCCTAAACCAAACCCTAATCCTAACCCTATGTAGTTAATTATAACTACTCAGCACTTAAATGTATAATTACATAACAACATGAAAAAGTTAATAATTGTATTTTATAAAGAAAATACGCCCTATGTATATATATATATATATATATATATATACATAGGGCGTATATTTTTACAATGCTATATGATCTAATAAAAAAAAATATATATATATATATATATATATTTATTTATTTATTTTTTTTATTAGATCATATAGCATTTTAAGCTGTTATATGGTGATGTTACAATGCGCCCCTCACATGTTGCAATGTACCACACCTATGGGGCATGTTGTCAAATTTCACTTCCATTCTTTCAAGGTAAATCAAGAAAAAAGTATACACTGTATTAATAAACAAAACCACATAATTGTACTAGACATGTGGGAAATTAATGTGGAAAAAAATAAATACTCTAAACCCTAAATATTTACACAAACTGAGAAAGTATATATATATATATATATATATATATATATATATACTATATATATATGAAGCATTTGGGAGTTTCGGTCTTCATAAAGCACCTCCTTACTGTTACTGGATCATTGTGCAATTGGTCCCATAGATTACAGCTCATCTCATTGGTCAACAGGCTCAGGATCAAAATCACACACACACACACACACACACACTCGCGCACCTTCACTCTCCTCGCTGCAGATGGAGGACGCGGCGAGTCGTGTTGGAACAAGACGATAGTTGCACAGTTCGAGTCGTTGGAATCTGTGTGAGAAGAATGCAGCACGGGCTGTAGTGTTTGCGTCAGTCGCGAGGACCGAAGCAGCGCGTGCTTCTCCCTCGGAGCGCATACAGAGTTGAGGACAGGCGCACTTGTCCGCTGTGTCTCGGACTCTATATGGAGGGATGTCGGAATGGCTTGCACCAGGAGAACCAAAACTTTGGTGTCTACATGTGTGATACTAAGTGGCATGACCAACATAGTGTGTCTTTTGTACGTAGGATGGGTGACAAATTACATCGCTAATGTGTACATCAAAGTGCCGATGCCTGTCCCAGCCAAAAAGTTGGAAGGCGACAGGAAAGGAGAAACTCTGCGGATTATAGAGCGACTGGATCGACTGGAGAATGTAGTTAATCAGCATATACAAGGTAAGATCAATGTGTGCTTAATAATTGTGCATACAAATGTGACGTTTAAAAATCTTCACATCGAGAAATACAGCTGACAACCACAAATTCAGCAAACATATGTGGCAAAAATTAGTTAAACGCCACTTTCCACGAATAGAGGGTTTTTATTACGCAAATAGTGATTGGAAGGGGTGTTTAGATAAACATTATAATAAAATACAAATTTGCATATGCAAACACGATCTCACAGCATGGACCAAATAATTACATAATACATCAAATAACAGTTTTTATTTAGCTATGGTAATAAATGAACACCATGAATGCAGTCAACACGTCAGTTTGTGTAAAAAACTGAGAACATTTTTCAACCAAGCTACTGATAGACTGTAAAAAAAAAAATTGTTGGTTTAACTTAAAAATATAAGTAATCTGGTTGCATTCAAATTTTAAGTTCGTTGAAATGGAAAAATTGAGTTAATACAATGAAGGAGATGAATTTAATCACCATAAACTCAAAATATTATGTTATCTGAACTACATAAATTATCTTAGTTGATTTGACAAAAAAATATATATATGTTTTTTTTTTTTTTTACAGTTTGAGGTAAGACTACCCAAATGCTCATAGATTTAAAATTATTTTCACACTATAAACACTATATCATCTTATCTCCCTTTTATGAATTATTTTCCTATGAGAAAATGTAATCTAGCCGAGGACCAACAATTCAGCAAAAAAGTTATATTATTAGGCTATTTTAAATGAATATTATTATATTAGGCTAACTAATGTTTTTATAATCTTATATAATGAATTTTCACCCTTAGAAAGATTTATCATGGTAACCACAGTTACCTGAGAAATACATTACATGCTTTAACCTTTCAGGGACTTTTTGTTCATTTTTAAAAAAATTTACTGTATGCTATATTAGAAGGCACTGTCAGTTTTATTTTATACAATGACAAATAAATATGAAACATACTATACAGTAGTGGGATATACAATGTGCTGTTCTTGTTACTGTAAATAACAGTGTTTTGGTAGACACCGTGGTTACCACAGTAAATATTTGTCTGTACTGTGGACATGACCTGGAGAGAGGGTTGCTCTGAAAAAGAGTTTCTTCCTCTCGGGTGATAAACAGAAGAATCTATGGAATGTCGTCATCACGACCTGAATATCAATTGAACATTTGTTCTGTCCTGTTCAAATCAGGTTGATTGCACCTTGCCTTCTCTTTAATGGCACTTTTATGCAGGTGTGACCTCCACTCGTGATCAGCTTCACAAAGAGCTCTCTCCTTCTCTCTTCAGAGACTCTCGTTTAATGAACTTGGCACTGGCCGAACACTAATTATGGAAAGTTACTGTCTGTACAGATAGTTTAGACTTTTCAGCACTTCCCAGCACACATCATCACTGAGTTTCTTTAATATAAATAAGCGTTAGTAATTGGCATTTACACAGGGTTGTATTAACCCAATTTTGGGTCAAATATGGACAAACCCAAATGTTGGGTTAAAACGTAATTTAAAATTGTAAAAAAATTTTTTTATTACATTTTTAACCCAACATTTGGATTTGTCCATATTCTACCCAAATTTGGGTTGAAACAACCCAGCATATTTTAGAGTGCAGGGTTCAACGAAGAACTTTTAAGCTCAATCATTGCACTTTATACGCTCTTTATAGTGGAAAAGGGTCATTTAAATGTTCCTCACACTAAGAAAACAATTTTTTAAAAGAAGTTTTCACCTGACCTTCTTTTGGAACCTTTATTTTTAAGGCTGTTGGATACTTCAATTACATGTTTGAGGTCAAAATTGGGTAGTTTGCGAATATATTGCTTGATCTTTATCGTGCAAAAGCAAACGGTGGATTCTTCCTCTTGCAAAACAGCCTAACCCATCTTCCCCGTAAAGCATCTGCCAAATAAACAATAAAGCACTTGTAGTTTCTCACTGTTGCACAAGCTTTATTCCGGATTCGTTTTCAGCTACTTCGGAAAGTACTAATTTGTTCCAGATCTGAGAGAACACAAGCAATTTGCTGTTCTTTTTCTGGTTTATTAGTCTACAACATGCACAGCATGCTTTGTCCGCTTCACTGAATATCTTATGAATAGAAATCTGTTGTTCAAGAAAGTCTGCAATATAATTGTATTAATGGCATCCTTTTGTGTTTGAGATGATTCTGTCGTACTAACTGTTGATATGGGTTGCTGACAGGCAGTGTAGCGCTCAAACTGAGTCAAGGGTGCAAACAAACCTCGCTGAGCTGAGAGGCTGCTACAGATGATAACTACAGCAAACATTCGAGCTGTTTGGCAACGGCCGTGGGCTTCGGAGTGGGCTTTGAGGAGAGCATTTTTTGGTTTCAACACTTGATCTTTCATTTCATGGCATAGATTGTTGACGTTTATCTGAGATACCTTCAGTTTGGTAATGGTATTTTATAATGGAAGTGAATGGGTAAACATGAATAAAAGTCGAAAGTGTACCCTCCCATTAGAGACCGACCGATAAAGGATTCTGAAGGCGATACGATACCGATATTTGTTGGTTTTAAAATCCGATATATCGGCCGATATTTTTTATTTGATTTTTTCAGGAACGCACAACAAAACATTAACAGATTTCCCTAACAATAGTTATTTGTAGTTATGTATGAGTTTTAATTAAAATAATATGATAATGCATTTTAAAAAGAAACTTGTTTCTTTTATTGTCGCAACAGAACAGAGGAGGAACCAAAGCTCATTAATTAATTAACAAAGCTCATTAAATTCCATTGATGATAGTGGCTTTAGCTAGCTTTGTGGTTAGCTAGAATGTGTTGCGCATTATAAACGAGTGTTGCCAACAGGCCAGGGATGGTATAGTGTGCCCTCTGGTGGACAAACTTATACAACTCCAACACTCCAACATGACATGGTTGACGCGTGTTTCATCCATTTTTATTTTATTTTTGAAATATTCATTTATCGGCCATTATAACTGCCGATACCGATAGTTTGTAAAATGCCTAATATCGGCCGATAATATCGGTCTGGCTCTAGTTAGAAATCAGGACAGAAGTGGTCAAAAGTGGACAAAAGAGACAGATTAAAACACCAGGTGTAAACGGAAATGTGTCTCCCTCGTCTACCTGTGATCTGATCAAGCAAATCGCATCTTAATATCAGGTGTAAACAGTAAAAAGTGTCAAAGTATTGTCAAGTTATACTTATTTCACTCATAAACTGAATAACCCCATTATAAAAGCATAGGAATATCTCGAGTGAACCACTTTCAAATTATTCTTCAGTGTTTTGACATCATCCCTTTAGCACTATTCCCCATGGAAAAAATCAATTCTTTTTTTGTTTGAAAAGCTTTTTCACTCAGATATAGCCTTCATGAAAAGACTATCACGACTTTGCAACTTTGTTTTCATGCCGAAAAGTGTTAAAATACCTAAGGTTTCAACACGTAAACGTGTTTACATAATTTTAGTGCGAACAAATCATTTACGCTAATGCTTTTTCCGCTTTTTCTGGGAATCAAACCTTTAGCACCATGGTAGCACCATGCTTGAGCTACTTAAACAGTAGTTACTATTTGAGCTGCTTTAACAGAACTACTTAAATCACTGACTACTGATGTTTTCTAAAGCCTTTTACAACTTCTTTTTCGTCACAACGAAACGCCTAAACCCCTAAAAAGACTGTACAAATGGCGAGAACACGTTTTCACAAAGAATTAAAGGGGTCATGACAAGAGAAATCAAATTTGACATATAAGAGGCATTTGTACCATTAAAACATCCTGCAAGTTTCAAACAAGCTCCGAATGGATGTGGGATTTGTGACATCACACAAAAACATTTGAATATGACTGGCGCAAGAGAGCAAGATATTGACGAATAGTTTTACATCATCGCTCCATAGGCCCCGCCCACTGGCGTTCAGTTGCTTAACGAATGACATTTGCCTGTTGCATCACATCACATCAGAAACTTTTGTTGGCAGATGAAGCCAATCACAAACCATAATTAAATGATTTCATAATGCTTTGTCAGTAAAGGACGGTTTTAAATGATAATGTTTTCAAAACACTTACTCGCATGCAATAGCGATTGGGCGTTGATAATGTTTCCTACGCAATGACGTTAGCCAAGCATAAAGGCCCTTTCACACTGGATGAAAACATCCTCATCAAACAGTGAAGACGAGCTTTTCATTTTATTTAAAAGACAGAAAAGAAGGATTTGGGTGCATCCGATCTTAAAGGGGTCATGAACTGGCTTTTTAAATTTTATTATATTGTTGTCTGAGGTCAACTTATGACATTCGCTTGAATTCGCGTGAATCAAAATGAATAAGTAATAGGCTATTTTCTACCCTAGTTTTAAGCCTGTTTAAAAACGCTGGGTTTTTGTGGGTGTCTCGCACTGAAGACTTGGAAGTAAACGCCCACTGCTGTGAGTGGATAACAGTTTTGCATATTATAATGAGTTCCAACTCACTTGTTGATGCACTTGGGGGAAATTGTTTTGAAAATGTCCAATGTTGTAAAATGGCAACCGGAATGATTCGCCCATTCATGTTCGACCCAGAGTCCGTGTGTTGCACAATTCCTGTCAGATCCAATATAGACGGCACAGCACCGTTCTTTACTCTTAATCGGTCTGCAAATCCAGTCTTGTTTACACAACAATCCTCAGTGAAATGAAGCGAACAGACGGACAATGTTTACCCTCATCAGCTGGAACGTCATTAAAAATAAAGTTTATCCAGTCCTATTGGAATCCAGAGGATTCAACAATATTTTGTATTGCGGTTTGTCATCACAAGGTAGCCCTATGTTATTTAGCTATGCGTGTAATGCCCGAATCGGTGGGCGTGGCTAAACCGGCCGTGTTGAAGTAGGCGTTGATCTTCTTTTGTGGGGGTGGTGTTTTATCCTCTTTTACGTCATAGTTCTCCACTTTGAAAAACGAGTCGTTTGCCGAAACTGGTGTCAATAAAAGCT